CTTAATCTAAACAAAAAAAGAAAAACCAATATAATCGCTTAATTTTGATCGTTAAACAGAAATGGTGGATTCAGACCGAATCCAAAACCCATGGATGGCGTCGGAACAAACTCCAATGAATCCAACCAACGCTACACAACGCTCTTCTCCTCCTTCCAATTCATCTAATAGTGATAATTTAGGGATTGCTGAACGCGCTTTCTCTGCCGCCGGCGCCGCTGTTCTCTCCGCCGTTATTGTCAACCCCCTTGATGTTGCCAAGGTCCGCTATTTCTTATTGACATTTACTGAATCATCCTTTTTAGCGGTTTTCATTATCTTAGTTTAATAATTTTAGTTTATGTCAAATTTGCAATGCTTTACATTTGCTATTATGCTATTATGAGTATGTTTTTTAATTGATTTTTTTTTTAGTTTGTTAGTTAGTTTTATTCTGTTGTGTTTTGATTTGTTTTCCGGATTTATCAGACAAGGTTGCAAGCACAAGCTGCAGGAGTTGCTTATTCTCATCCACTCAGTAATTTGATCAGCAGAATGTCTTGTTTTGGCCCAAATATGGTATGTGTCGTGTGGACCATATATTTTGTCCTTTCACCCATTTTGAAAGTCTTTTTATCAGAGTATTGTTATTGTCTTCAACTACTGTATCTGTATTTAGTTCTCTGGTCAGCTTGAAATCAAACTATGTAGGTTCTGTTTTGTAAAAAATAGTTGATAGCAGATAAGCTAGTTCATAGCAAATAACTTGTAGCGGATAGGTTAGCTGATCAAATTTGAAGTTTTTAATAAAATTAGCGGTCGAGTTAAGATATAAACTTTTTAATGACATAATCTTATTTAGTATTTAATTTTTTTCAATTAAGATAATGAGAGAAAAATGATACACTATAAGTAAGTTAATATGCAACTTGAAGTAGTATCTCCAAATATGCTGTAAGTTCATGAAAAATGTTGCAAGTTTGTGAGAGAATGGTCACTGCTGAACAGTTGTATGAGCTCTTATCCTATAAGCTATGTTTCATAAGTTAATGGTTTGGCCTGGCCAAACAGAGCTGTAATGTGGGATTGTTTTTAACAGTTTGCATGGTTAAATTACACTATGCGTCTTTTTGAAGCCAACCTAGTTGTATATTAACATGAGGAAAGAAAATCCTGTTCTTTTAGAAGTGCAATTGTGTAAATGATTTGACCTTTCTGAGACTGTTTTCCAGATGTTTGCTGATTTAAGATGTTCTCCATCGTGTACCCGAGCTGGATTCCATGGTACTGTATCACTCTGTCCTCCCGATTGTTTTCGGTACAAAGGAACACTAGATGTCATGTATAAAATTATACAACAGGTTGGTAGTTTAATATTATAGAATATTGGTATTGCATACATATGCGTTGAATACATACAGATTGTTGTTAATCAATGCCAGAGTGGTATTTGTTTCAGGAAGGATTTACTAGGCTATGGAGAGGCACCAACGCAGGCCTCGCACTTGCAGTACCAACTGTAGGTTCACAAGCCAATTAACTGTGTTTTTACTGTTCTAAGTACTAGACATTGCATAATGAGAGTGCACGAATTGGCTAATGTATTCTTTTATATGCTTAAATCAGGTTGGAATTTACCTTCCTTGCTATGACATATTTCGCAATTGGTTCGAGGAATACACAGCCAAAAATGCTCCCATTGCAACTCCATACGTACCTTTAGTGGCTGGTTCATTGGCACGCTCACTGGCTTGTGCAACTTGTTATCCTATTGAACTTGCCAAAACTCGCATGCAGGTATTTAATCAAGATAGTCTCTATTATGTTCTTTTTTTCTTGAAGTACCATGTTGTTCAAGTCATTGTTATTTTCCATGCTTTTTTGAATCTATGTTGTAATTGCGCAAGTTAACCAGCTGTTCAAAGTGGATTTTAGCCTGACAATTGCTCCCAACTGGTCTGGAGAGTGCACAGCTTATTTTTTTCCTATTTATTTCACTAGTACCAAGTCATTGATGCCATGATTTATCACAAGTCAATTCCAATTGGCAGCATTGTATTCAAATTATGATTATGACTATGGTCATGGGTTATGGCTTATAATTAAAGAACTGCATTGTGGCCGGATAATGTTTTGATTTTTACCTTTACTTGTTTGTCCCTCAGAATCATCTCTGTTCTACTTCTATTTACTGTATTTCACGTGGTTTGATTTTTCCTTTATTCAACTGATGATCAAGTTGGTATTGCCGAGGATTTAATTTGGTGTGGCAATGGTGTTTTTCATTTTTTATTTCTTCCTATTCAGTGGGTTTTTGAAAAGCCATGTTGTCATATTATGTTATCCAGCTACATTTCCTATTTGCAATATGGATTCTTACTGGTGTTTGTATCTTGGGTTTTTGTAGGCATTTAAAGAGACTCAAATCGGTCAAAAGCCACCTGGAGTATACAAGACTTTGCTAGGCGTCGTCTCTAATGTCAAGGGCACAAGTAATTCACCGAACAACTGTAAGTGCACAGCTTTTGCGACAACAGAACACCTGATAAAAATAAATGTACACTGAAAGGAGTTTGCATCTGCTTGCTTTGGAGTTTACTTAGTGTATATAAATTTATAATTTCTTTTTGAGTTGACTGGTTTTTCCCCCCTTTTTGTTTAATTTATTAAATTTTGCACAAACACAATACGGTTTTACTGTTGATGTCATAATATAATCTTTAGGCTGATTATATTATTAGATTTAGCTTGTTAATGAACTGATAATTTAAACAGCTTTTAATAGTGGCCATTCATGGCAAAGTTCTTCTGTATGTATGTCAAGCAAGTAGCGTGGTCGAATTATTTACATTTCTGATCTGTTTGGTTTGATTTAAAATGATCATAGTTCTTTTGATAATAAATTATTGCACTAACCTAGCTGCCATATTTGTTAGTATAACAATACAAGATTATCTAGTAATAGTTGTTATTTACTTACAGTGCAAGGTTATCGTGCCCTGTGGACTGGCATGGGTGCACAGCTTGCTCGTGATGTACCATTCTCAGCAATTTGTTGGTCGACGCTTGAGCCTGTGAGTTTCTTTCCAAGTCCTGTGAATAAGGAGTTGTTTTTCTTAATAATATTATGTTCTTATGTCAACTACTTTTCTTTTGCAGACTAGAAGGAAACTTATTAGTTTGGTTGGAGGCGATGATGCCGGTATATTGAGTGTTCTTGGTGCAAATTTTTCAGCTGGTGTTGTTGCAGGAACTCTAGCGGCTGGAGCTACGTGTCCACTAGATGTTGCAAAAACACGAAGACAAATAGAGGTTTGTTTCATTAGGTTTTAAGTCAGTCACATATCCTGTATTATTTATTCAAACTTTAAAGGGGAAGGTAGGGGTAGTGTAGAGGATTTTACACAGCTCATTCTGCTTTGTTTTTTATCCTTCTGGAAATAGAGGTGGCAGCTTATCATTCTTTTCAGATTAACTGTTACATTTGAACTAGAGACACATTTTATATGTGTGCATCTCTGCACATTCGGTCTTACTCTCTTGTCATGTTTTCTGCATAATGTTTTTCCAGATGGATCATGTCAGAGCTTTGAAGATGACTACTAGACAGACACTGATTGAGATTTGGAGGTATGCCATAATTCGAAATTTAGAAAGTTTTGACTTTATCCATGTTTTTATGACAAAATTTAGATGCCAAGTGCACTCATTTCTTTTTATCGCTATGGTCTGCTGCATCTATGTGTTATATAATTGATGATTTGCTTTAAGCTCTTTGTTTGTTTCTTCTCTCCGTCGCGTATTAATGTTATCTAGGTGCACATTGTTAGAATCTATCAATATATCAATATAACTGGTTATTGACATGCTCTATCTGATCTGATTTTTTTACCATCTCTCAGAGACGGAGGCTTGAAAGGACTCTTTACTGGTTTTGGTCCGCGAGTTGGTCGAGCTGGCCCCTCTGTTGGAATCGTGGTTTCGTTTTATGAAGTTGTAAAGTTTGTCTTAAATCACCGGAACATAACAACGTGACCAGGTCAAATATTGTGGATACTTTTTATTGCCAAAACGACCTTTTTTGTTGAAGAACCTATGGATACTGTGCACAGCTAGTTTTTGTTGAAAGGAAGCTGTATTCCAGTCCAATTCTGCTCATGAACCAACGTTCATGCATAGGAAAAAATAACAAAAAATAACAAGTATAGGACAAGGTCAATATAGGTTTTTGAGCCTTTTTTGTGTTTTCTCTGCCTTTGATCAGCAGAGTTCAATTTTGTTACAATTGGGGTTCTTCCCAAGAACAAGTTTTAAATAAAATTGTAGTTATTTTGAAAACATCAGCAATAGCATTACACTTGGCTATGTATACACGGGGATATTAAGTTATTAACCAGATTGTTGATTCTATCTAGATTTTTTGTTAAGCTACTATTCTGGGCACAAGTTTGAAATGTATGAATTCGAAGTTTATTTCCGTTCAGTTACAAATTTTTTTCTTCCAGCTCTCTCCCTCAAATTGTGACATATAAGTGAAATGCTATAAGCTTTAAGACAAATGAACTAAATTTAGGGTTTCTTGAAAGATTTTCAGGGTGTCTTGGAGTTGTTCATTTGAAGTTACAAACTTATATTGAGTTCTTTTTGGAAAAATGACAGTTAAATATTGATCTTTAGATGTCTGAACAAAATGATAGTATAGTTTTTTTAGATTTAGATTTTTTTTAACATCAATGATTTGCTGACACTATAGATTTAGATTTTTAAGAAATGTTTGGTTTGTGTCTTGTTAATGAATGAAATTTTATTGCAGAAACAAAACACAATAATCTATAGAGCAACTGGTAAAATGAGATTTTTATTGGAAGCACAAGAGAATTAATTATACAGAACGCATTCCCCCCCAATTATAAAATCTCACCCTCCTCTGTAATTATGACATGAATAAATGCTTCTCTTTGCCTAAAAGATTAACATGAACTGAGAATTACAAGCAAATGAGAAAATCTCTTATGAATAAATTAATGAATGATATAGGTGAGCACCAAAGCCAGAAGCATTAGTAAACATGCAACCGTTTGATCAATTGTAGTTCCTGCAAATTATAAACAACAATTCATCAACAATTAGAAACGAAATTAAAAAGGAGAATATGATATTTTTCATATGAATAAAATAAAATTGAAAAAAAAAAAATCTTACCATCGCTTGTAGGAGCTGGAGCAGGTGCAATAGAATGGGAAGAAACCAAAGACATAAGAGTTGAATAAATGATCCAAAGGAAGACAGCCACCCTAAATAAAGCCATATCAATGTTTGTTTTTTTAAACGGTTTTTTCTCTCTCCTCACTTTCTCTTTTAATTTTTGAAGAGAAAGAAAGGAGAGAGAAATGAAAAGAAAAACAATACTTGTGTTGGAGAAAGATGTTCGGGTGGTAAAAATGGAAGAGGTTTGTGGAATTCCTTTTATAATGGTTATGGCAATGCAAGTTTTGATAGGAGCCAGCCATGTTGAGATGTTGAATCAACATGCATCCGCACGTTTAGGGAATCCTCGGATAATAGGAGCCAGCGATTTCAGGCTGTAGACAATTGCAAATCCAGAGTGTTACGTATAACATAAACAAAAAAGTGTGGCTGCTGGGATTCGAGCCCAGGTCTCCACGGCCACAACGTGGAATTCTCACCACTAAACTACAGCCACTTGGTGTTACGATCATGAAATTTCTAGTAATTATAGATATAATGCTGTCAGGTACAAATTTATTCCACTAATTTGGTATCTATAATTAACATCGTTAGCCTAAAGTTTTCGTGGTTTATTTCTTCATAATTCTGATTCTTTCCACTACAACATAACTATCATGTGGTCTATAGCTTTGTCCATTTTATGATTCTTTGCTTACCTTTTTTCATTCACTCTATCTGTTCAAATCATATAGCAATGCTGATTCTCTAATCCCCAATAAGTATATATGCTATTAAATTTGATTTTATTTAGAAGACAAATAAAAAGGAAATAAGGATATGTAAGAAGGGACTAGGTGTAAAAGTGTGAAGAAATATCCCTTACCAAGAGTGGAACAATTTCTCTCAAGCATAAGAATCACCCATAGAAGAAGCATCATGGCCTAGTTAAGCTTATGTTTATATAATACTAATTACGGAAATAAAATAAAAAAGGTGCATTTCAATTGAATAAATAAAAATGGAGGTCAAGGATTTTATTTTTATTTTTATGGGAATGTCAATTAAAATTACCTTAAAAAATTTACTTGACACTCCATATATTTCAATAATGTCAAAAATATCTCTCTTGTTATTTATCTTTTTTTTTTCTTATTTGTTTTTTCAAAATTGACAGATTGTATAAATTTTCTACTAAAAAATCAGTAAAATACAAAAAATACGATAGTTTTATTAAATAATTCAATAGACTTTTTTACTAATCAAAAGAAAAATAGAAGCTTTTTATCGAATTTTTTAAAAATTCGGTGTGAATTTTTATCATATTTTTCGAAATATTCGGTGTGTCGTTTTGGTTTATCAAAAATGTGAAAAGTGTGGTATACCAACCAGATTAAATACTTTTTCTTCTCCCCCCTTTCCCCTTGTGGCAATAATTAGGGATTTAGATGAGAATGGTAACATGTCATCAACTCGTGATGAGCACATAGCCATGTGAAATTACTATTATAGAAACACAATGTCCAGACAGGACGATTGATTGCAAATTAGTGGAGTTAGGTATGTTTGGTAGCTACGAGAGTTACATTAGCTCTAATAGTGATAACAACAATGATAGCGATAATGACCCTTTTCCTCTTCTATTTTCTCTAGAAACAAGAAGATATTAGTCACCACTGATACTTATCGCAAGGACGTCGTGGATTTCAAGTCCCATTACATTAGTGAGGAAAATATAACATCTTTTCAGCAGCAGATCAACATGTCCTCCTCAGGTGACGAGGAATGAGTCATCCTAGAGATGCGTTCTACGACTGAGAAGACTAATATAACAGTTCTTACCAATTCTCCTAGTCCCTACTTCTACCTCCACCTCCCCGTCGTTCGTGAACTGGGGGTTCTCATCCCCTTTCCCCCGTTGGAGAAAGAGATTTTAAAGGTGATGAAAGCTTCCCCTCCCAAATGATGCCCAATGTTTGGAGTTTAATTTGGGCTTTTGGGATCATATGCCGACGACTAGGGATTCATCTTACCATAGGGATGTTCTTTTCCTTCGATGGAACCAAGGTGATGTTCGAGGAATCTTGGCGACCCTAAGTGCCTTGCTTGTGAGAGTATTGTTTAAATCCTACTCTAATCACTACAAGAATTAGAATGATAAATTTGTGAAAGTGAGGGCGAGATGTGTAACACCCCAATTTTTAGTAATTATTTATTAATTAAATTAATTGATTAATTATGTGATTTTAGGCCTAATTGAATTAACTAATTTATGTGATTTATTTGATATAATTGAATTAGTTGATTTATTTAATTTATATAAATTATTTGATTTATTTGAGTTGTTTGGATTAATTGAATTATTGGACATATTCGAAATAATTGATTTAATTTTATTATTTAACTTATATGATATATTCTAATTTGTAGAATAATATAGAATTGTTAGATTAATTGATTGGGCCTATTTGGGGGTGTGAATAGACATGAGTTATTAAGCCCATTGGAATTACTAGGTTAATTAAAATTGTGAGAATTATATAAAATAAGAGAATGGGATAAAAGAGAATGGAAAGAAAGAAAAGAGAGAAAGGAGAAAAGAGGCAAAGAGAGGAGTGGAGAAGAAGATGAGGAAACTCAAGAGAAAGAGCAAAAGTTCAACAAATTCAAGGTAAGGGTGGATTTTTATATGATTATTGGGATTGTATGATAATATATAATGGGTAGAAACATGTTTAAGATAAAACCCCTAAATTTATATAACTTTGTGATTGTTAGGTTTTTATGATAAAACTTGATATGTGATTATTAATTGTGTTTGGAATTGGTATATATAATGGGTATATTCGGTTACACTGTAGCAATATGATTTAGTTTAAATGAAACGTGATGCTTCATGAATTGGTACAGTAGCGAAACATGATTATTGGATTAATTGGTAGGCAAAGAAAAAGTAATATTCTCTTATGTAATGATACTGTAGCGAAAATGTTTTATATCGTTACCCGTAGCAAAACAAAAGTTGTATTCCTAGTTCTTACTAAAATAAATGACATGCACTCTGTTGAATGAATAGTTACTGCATAAAGAAAAAAAGTGATGCTTTATTATTAATGCTTTGTATTTTATATTTTCATGAAAAATAGGTTATATTGCTAAAATAACCGGGATTTATTCTAGAACATAAACAAACGATGAACCAAAAATGCAGACACTTTTATATCCTTTATGGTCAATGAAAATATGATTTGATAATTAAATAATAATACATTTCTTAGAGATGGTATAGTACCACTTTAGTTGTAAAACAAAAGGTGAGCGCATAGCCTACATACTTCTTATCCAAAATGAAAAGTGCTAGTCATATTAATTGATGAATAGTAGCAAGTACATGGGATTGAAATGTGAACTTGTGGAAATAAATTAAATTGGTAGCTTTTGAGTCTCTAATGCCTTAGTACTGTAGCGTATAGAAATTATGGACAAACAAATATGATATTTTATAAGTTTGTAACTGTAGCGCACTTGTTCTTTAAAGTAATGATAGGTGATACTTAGATGGTATAGTAGATTTTGGTAGTAATTTAGCATCCATAAAAAATGGGAAATGATACTGTAATAGAATGAGTCTTGCAGTGCAATATTTAATGCTAAACGAATTGGAATATCATCATAAAGCCAAAAACATGATTTATTAGATAGTTGTAACAATAGCTCACCTATCTCTAAACAACCTTTTTATGAGAACCTGAATTAAAAAGAAAAGTGATATGCCTTGAAAAAGTACCTCACACATTAGAAACAAAAGAAACATAATGACTACATGGTATAATGTTCTTAAATATCATGTTTTAGTTTACTAATATATATATATATATATATATATATATATATATATATATATATATATATATATATATATATATATATATATATATATATATATATATATATATATATATATATATATATATATATATATATATATATATATATATATATATATATATATATATATATATATATATACACATTTTGTTTCATTAAGTTTTTAATATTAATAATACATTTTACTTAATTATTAATATTTATTTTTAGTCATCATATTAATATTGAATTTAATTATTGAAGATGGATTTCTTTTTCTATGTTTAACCGGTATCGTTTGTTTTGTGAATTGAGGTTGAATTGTGTTGATACTTGTGTATGTGCAAATGTGTGGTAATTCAAGTGTGATGAATTATTGAAGATATGCTTGAACATTAAGATTAGGGAATGGTCTTAATTGTATATGAATGTTGATTTGCATACGCATCATTTATGTCAAGAGGCAATGCTTGTTAGTTCCGTGGGAGCTAGTGACTTGTCCCAAACCTAGAGCGGAGTTTGAAAGCTTAGGGAACGAGCTTTTTGTGTGTTATTGGTCTAGGGAACGGACCCGGTTTAAGTGTAAAAACCGAAAAATAATAACGAGTGTTGGTACCACATGACATGAGTTGCATTGAGTCTTGCATTGAGTTTTGCATTGAGTCTCATTATGTATATTACTGTGCTATGAGATTATGGGTGATATGTGGAACTGATAAACTGGTGAATTATGGAGTTGTGTGTATATACTTGTGAATAGTATGGTTACTTGGATAATATTGTGTTGATGAAACTTTTGAAGTGTGAGAATAATAGTGATTATGTTCGTATGCCTTAAATTATATATTATCTTATAATTTTAATAATTATGTGAATTCTCACCCTTCTGTTTGAATGATGTTTTATACGACATCACTCAGGTACTGAGGAGTAGAGTTGCTTCTAGCACGAGGTAGCCGTTGGAGTAGCTTGAGTTGTGTCTTTATTTATTTTGGGTCGAGTCATGCTCTGATTATGTAACACCGGGGAATAATTTGATTTCATATTTGGAGAGATATTTTATGTACTCTACTTTATTCTGTTGTTGTTATTTTGAATTATATGAAGAATTGGCTTTTAAGCCTAAGTATTAAAAAATGAGATGAGCATGAGACTTCTATTATGTCCATCATGATTAAAGCAAATCCGCTGCTACATGTTAATGTGAAGGTGTATGAAAAGCAGGAAGTTATTTTTATATTATTGAGCATGACA